TGTGGCACCCACTTTTGGGGGCGTGGCCAAATACAACCAAATAGCTCCTCAGGGGCGCCTTGTTATGTTGTTATACTGTTAATGGGAATGCGTTTTTAAGTGCATTTCAGACGGTTAAAAGATGCTAAGTAGATCGTAATTTGCTTGAAGACAAGTGGGTGGAATGTCTATAGATAGACTTGATGTGTCTATACTTTGAAATGTTTATACTATGGGCAACACATTGTATTTTTAAAAAATCGAACATATTTTTAGATAGTATTTACAAAGAATAATTTAAAAAGCTTTGTTTCAACATTTTCATTGCCTTCTCAATATAATTTATGAATATTGATATTTTGAATTATAATGTTTGTTGATTGTTATTCAAATAATTAATATAAGTAAACAAATTTTAAATGTTGTTGCCTCCTATAAAATATAAGGCCCGATTGAGCTGGCAGCATTCCAGACAAGCTGTCAACACGACTGCGATTGTGAGTCAGGAAAATGCCTTTATGGCATTTCCATATTGCACGGGGGACTGCCAATGCAAATCTCGCATTCAAAGAGACCTCACACGAAAACAATGAATTATTGCACAACATCATTAGCTCGGCCCTAACGGAAATGGGCCTTATAAACCATAGCCAAGGTTTGTCCCGAAGGCGTGCGATGTCGCCTCACCTTAAAACTCCCGACGCATTCATCAATAAGTCACTCTATAACTTACCCAATTGATTAACGGTGCGGTACGTTTTACGTTCATTCAGCTATAGATTTTCGATTGTGTGGGTCTCTGAGTGTAGGTCGTTCCGATGCAGTAGAAGTAGGGAAAATAAACCAGAACTTCGCTACGTGACTGCAATGTAAACAAACAGAGAGACCCAATTAAGCGTACTAAGTTTACGATACGATCGAAGAAAAATGCCAAAACAAAAATGTGAAGGAAACTTGAAGCTACCGAAACTGATTAGCGTATTGGGAAATTTATGCTGGCCAAATGTCAGAAGGCAATGGTCAGAAAATGTGCAAATTTACCATTTGGTTTACAATTGAAATTAACGCTCGAGCGCAACTGAAATTAAAATGGCTAAGAATGTTAATGTTGCGTTTACTGGCGATCCAGACCATTTAGAGTGCACTGACTGGCCGAATAATCTGGCAGAGGTCCAGGGCAAAAACTGAGACAGTTTCCCAAACAAGCTTTTCCACTTTCATTGAACCTTTTCGAGAGAGGGGCTAGACCTTCAATGACGCTGCACTTGCCGTGGAAATCGGCCCACGTAAGCTCGCGTCGCCCATGTTCGGAGCCAAATTGCTGACACAGTTCGAACGGTCGCACAATTTATGCATTTTAAATGTTAATTAAAGCCGGCACAGTGTGCCCAGGCCCCTGCATCCATTCATAAATTTACCTAAATGCAGGCGGCCTTTGTTGCGGCTTTTCTATTTCTCTGTAGTCGCGTTACGCATAATTAAGCGGTCGGCGCGCTGTCTGAACGCAAGCCTCAAAAAAAATAAAAAAATATAAAAGAGACGAAGTCCAAATAAAAATCAATTGACCCACAATGGATACTCGCAACTTTGTGGCTAAACATTGCAGCCGGGGAAAAATATTAGACAGCGCAAAAACGTAAGTTTTCAGCTGCCGGTAAAGGTGTTAAAAATTGTTGTGCAAACAATGGGAATAAATAAACCACTGCAAGCCCAACCAATTCGATGCTAACAAATACAATTTGCATAAGGCACTGGCAAATATATTACCTCATTGTCTTTGATTTTCGGTCTCTGGCTTTGGCCTTATCACTAATTGACGTTTACAAAGTGACAACTGATAAACAAAGCGACATTAACAGCGGTTTTGTGCGTATACGTATTGTCGTTCGTTGTAATTAAATTTCTATTTTCGTGTAGGTACATTTGTACATAATTACCGAACCGGTGGCGACGCCATCAAGTTTCCCAAAATCAAACACAACATGCACGCAGAGTTCTCACAGTTGGTTTTCATTTGGCAGCAGAAACAAAAGGCAGAGGCTCTGCCTTTCCACCCAAGCGGAAAAGTTGCAAGCGGGCGTGTGGCGAAAACCGAAAAGAAAACTCAGATAATTTGCTCAGGCGGCAAAGCCGTCGATTGGAAAACCAGATAGTGGAAGCACTGGACTTGAAAGGGGTAAAAAAATACCCAAAATAGTTAGGTATATAAGCCGTAGTGAATTTTTAAAGTTATACGCTTTCAAAATTATGAAATTTAAAGAAAAAAAGATCAAAGATCTAATAGAGAATTTTGTATACAAGCTTACAATTTTATAGACTTCTTAATAAACTTCAGAAACAAGAAAATATACAGTCCTTAAAAAAATCCCATTAAAAACATAATAGAAATGTTTTTAAAAATTTCAAACAATTTTTGCTTTTGTAATTTATACAAACACTTTTAATTTTGTTGAATACACATACGTGTTTCGTTTTTTAGTAAGTGGAATGGCTAATCTTCAAAAACTATTTTGAAACAGACAGCGGAATTTCTTGGAAGATGTGTGGGCGTCAAGGGCAGAACAATCTTAAAGATAACGAAATGGATTTAATGCTTAAACATGATTTATTTTGGAAACAGAAAATCAAAAATTTGAAGAGAATTTCCAGATGTTTGTCGCCTGCACAGATATATTCCGCACTATATACCTAACCATATACCGTACTATATACACCAATGGTTATGTGGTTAATTGTCAAAAGCCCGCGGGCATGTAGTTTTGGGGCTAGTTCCATTGGACTGCTCCGATGGCGCCTCTTCCTGCGATCTCGCAACACCCGAGCACGCAATGGAAATGCCAGCCGTGTTGGTTCCCCATTTTCCGGCATTTCTGGGGCTAGCGCCGGCCACTATGTCATACGTAGTGCCCATGTGGGGCAATCACCGACAGTCCAGGTTGTGCGGGGTGTGTGTGTGTGTGGAGCTCGGATTTGGATGGTTTTGTTTGGGGGTTTTTAGTTTTTCTTCTCCACCTATTTTTTTTTTTATTTTTTGGGTGTGTGCGTGCGGGGCGTTTTGCCATTAAGTTGAAACTGAAGCTTCGGTTTTAGTCGTTTTTGTTTTTTTTTTGCTGCTGGTCGTTGGCTGGTTACTAATTTGAATTTCGGTCTCAAACCCAGCGACATTTTTTATTGCTGCTCTCGTATTGTTTTTGTTAGTATTTGGCTTACGTCATGCATTGCTAGTTTGTTGCCTTTTGTTAGGCGGTTTGACCTTTTTTCGTACCTCCGGCTAAATTCAATGCTGATCCTAAGATAAGCCGGCAATATTTTGTATTTTATTCATTGTACGGGCAATTTGTTGCAGCCATCAACTGATAACACAGATTTGTGCTCATCTATTTATAAAAGATTACAGTGATTTTTCCAATGATTCATTAGCCAGTCAAAATATTGTGTTTACTTATCAATTTGTTTGTGTTTAGCTTGACCTTTGGCAAGGCTCTCGTTTCTTACATTATTGATTCGAGCTAGCGGCTATGTAGCATTAAGAGCTTAACACTTAATAAATTGTATGTAAATCAGACCTTGGGGTCTCTCTGAGTTGTTCAATTAGCTGGCGGTTACTGTGAGATTCTGCAGATGGCAGATGGCAGATGGATGGATGCCCATCTGCCTGACCTTCTCCTCCGATTAGGTTGGGTTGCTTCTTTTGGGGGCGTAGATCACACGCAGAGTCAGAGTCAGTCAAATGTTTCGCTTTTTGCTCGGGGTGATGTAATTTGCCTAGCCGACAAGCCAAACAACCGGTTTTGCCGCAAACTACTTAAATCTCGTTTCTTGCCATCCAAGTTCTCTCGCCGGGCTGCGCAGTTGGAAAATATGATAGCCGTCTGGCACTTTCCTTTTCCTTTCCGAGTCCCATTGTCAATGTTGAGGCACCGAGCTCACTTTAAGTATCATCTTGCAAATTGCAATTGCAATTCAGACGGTGAAAGAGTGGGCTTCTTGCTCGACACATGCGTTTTAGGTATTATCAAGCAATTTACTTGTCGAGTGGGTTTAATGCACTGTCTAGTGGTTGCATTAAGCCTACAGAAGGGGCACTTAAATAGAAGAAATAATATGAACAGTAAACAGTAGAATATATAATGGTATTTAAAACCAGAATATATTAGATCTTTAAATTTTAAATACTCAACATAGTTATTTTTAAAGTGTAAATACTTTTCAATGTTTGTTATAACAACGCAGTTATGTGTTTATAAATTGTCCATACAAAATGCAAGATTCATGCATTTTGCCGGAGGCTTGCGAAATGCTATAAAATTAAGTGCAGTTGTTTATTTCACATTTACCCCAGCAGCCTTTGCCTTTATCATAATCTCCGGCAAATAGTTTGCTGATGATTAAAGCTACGTGCCATTGACAATTTCGTTGACAGTTAATTTAAATTTATGTCTAGGGCAGACACATATATATTTCATTACTGTTCTGTTCTGCTGATGCCATTGTGTTCAATTACTCTGTTAGTTTAGTTATGTTGTTGCCCCGCCTGCCGCTGTGCAATGGTGCGTATGTGTGTTATGAATGTTGACTGTGGCCTATTGCCTATTGACACTTGTTTATTTTTGACACCCCATTGTGACACGTATATACATATAGATATAGATATTTATATTTGTAATCGGGGGCTCTGAACGGGCTCTCGAATGATTTTCAGCATGCTGTGTTTGCCCGCCGATTATCATCGATGGGTGGCATCAAATGGCTTGATTGCTTTTTGATATGCCCACAAATTGGTCAGAGCAGCTTCATGTTATAGGGTGCATAAATAGTTTTTACAGCCTCTCGGATCTTGTTGTTTGTGCGGTTTTATTTGGTAGCCAGCAAGTTGGTATTATTTACTATTGGTGTCTGTGACTTTTGTGGTTGCCCGAGGCCCCACTATTTCAATGTCTTTTTTTATTTTGTTGTCTTTTCGTTACATCTCGGAATTGTTAGAAGAAATATGTCTTAACTTGGTTTATTCTTTTTTTCAGAACCCATCCAGTCTGACATGAGCAAGTGAGTCCCAACGATACGAAGAGGAATCATCGAGGAAGAACGAAACCCCCGAAAGGTGGCTTAATTACTGAGATTATACGCAGATAGTTTGTAGCAACCCAAATCGAGAAAATGGGTTTCGTTGCGGAGCACTCCCCGCGAGTCAACAAGACGTTGATATCGCTCAAGTTTGTCGTGTTCTTCGTCATTGCCGGTGAGTCAAAAAAAAAAAAAAAAAACATAGCATAAAAAATGGAATATAATAAATAAACAGAGCTTGAAATAATCTTTGGCACTTCCAATAAATAAAATATGATAAGAACTTGCTTTGGAAATTGCCCTTTTAAATTCTTAAATAATTATAGGAAGAATTTTATTAAATATAGGTATTTTTATTTCCATTGTAGGTCTCTCAGCTTTGCATGTTCTGCACAACACAAAGCCTCTGCTTCTGGGACTGAACTTCTCGGAGTACCGCTTCATCACCATTTTGGCGCCTTTTGTCTCCATTTTGGGTCCCCTGATTGCTGGTCCCTGGGCAGATCGCCTGGCTGCCAAGAACCCGAATACTTTCGGACGGAATCTGCGAGTGCTGACTGCGGCTTTCCTGCTGCTCTCGGCATTAACTTACGCTTTCCTGTTCGCTGTGCCCGATGTTCACCGGCGAGATGAAATCCGTGAGCCGTTGGTCAGTTTTGGCTGCGATGAAACTGGAGGATTCCTCTTCCAGGAGCGCTGTGGCTCGAACTCAAGCTGCAGCCGATGGGATCAGAAGGAGGGTAAAATTAACCTAACCCGCTGCACGTACAGCTGCCAGAATCCCAAGCTCTATGAGCCACTGTACGTGGCCTGGCTGGCCGAGGTTCCCACTCTGGCTCCTTCCACGGAGCCAAGTTCGGAGTTCGACTACGAGGACGAGGGCAGCACTGCGGTCACCGAAAGCCTGCGCACCAGGAGGGACTTGGAGAGCTCGGATCCAGCGGACAGTGCCGGTGTGGAGGCCATCAGTGGCGAGGTGCTCCACCACCGATCCGTCAGACAGATCAAGAAGCCGCCAAAGAAGGTCTACGTTCAGCCACCGCACGTCTGCCTCACCAAGCGCAATGAAAATGGGGAGGAAGTGGTGAAGCACTGCCACGCCTACACCGAGGACACCACCAGCGTGGTCATGGATGCCCTCATGGGATCCGCGATCAGCCAGGAGGAGCACTACGACGACTACGAGGGATGGTGCCAGTACCCACTGGGTGAGTTAAAGGGGAAAGGTAACACTTAAGTAATCAATATAAGCCTAGGGTCTTCACAACATTAAAAAACAAGAAAAGTTAAGAAAATTTATGGCCATTTACTGAAAAAGCAATTTTTTATTTATTGTAAACGCGTTTTTAAAAATTTATAATATAGGTTATGGCCAAAAATTTTTTTAGAAACGTCCTTATAGTAATTTCAAAATTGATTTCTTTTTACAGAGGGTTTCCAATGTCACATACCCGCCGAACAAGTGACCTACATGAAGGACTTCAAGGACTACAAGCAGAACGACAGCAACTGCAAGCCGATGATCGAGTGCCAGGTGGTGAATCCTTACTTTGAGAACAGCGTACTTTCCGACAGCGAATGTACCAATGTGAGTTATTATATTTCATATTGGGTAATATCTTATAATATTTTATTAATTTTAAATCGAATAACCTTAGACCACTGGCAGTGTGGAGGAAACCCTGGTGGGCTACACGATCATCCGAGTGATCGGAGACATCTTCCCCATGGCCGCGCTGACCCTTCTGAATACGGCAATTGTGATCGCAGTGCGAGAAACTTCCGAGGGAAGGGGCGAAGTTTGCCGCCAGTATGTCTGGGGAGCCATTGGCTTTCTGCTGTTCTTCCAGCAACATCTAGATGAGGACTACGCCCTGGCCGCACTCATTGTGTTCATTGTGTGCTTTGTTGTGGCTGCCATAATCCTGCTCTGCGCCTCGCAAATGCCACTGAGTCCGCCGGAGTGGTGGTGGCACACAAAGACCGGAATGCTGGTGGTGCCCATGTCCGCCATCCGGCGGTACAGTCCCGAGATCTTCGTCCTCACACTGGTATCGATACTTTTCGGCACCTTCTGGAGCAGCATCCACAGCTACTTGGTCTGGACCTACTCGCATACAATCTTCGGGGCTCTGCTCCTCATCCTGGTGCTTTTCTTCAACGCGGACAAGTTCATCGAGTACTGCGGTCACTCGAACATCTTCATCGGTGGTCTGGCCATTTATGTGATCAGGTTCACCGCCTTGAGCGATAACGACACCCATTGGTTGACCCTCATCATGGAGTACATCGAGCCGGTGGCAATCGGTCTGATTTGGATCACGATCATTCTGTATATGCGCCATGCCATGCCACGAAAACTTACTGCCACTGGACAGGGCATCGCTGTGTTGGCCTTCTTCGGATTGGGTAGGTGTTCTGCCATACATTTTAAAATATATTAAAGAAAAATACAAGTTTCATATATATTTTATAAAAAATAATTATTATACTTAAATATTCTGTAGAATAATTATTAACTTAACTCCGATTTTGGTTCTTGCTTTCAGGCAAAGGCTTTGGAGCTCTGATTGGACTGCTGCGCGATGAGAAGGATCCCCAGCTGAAGGACTTCTCCTGCTGCTACCAATGGCTGGCCGTCGTGGCCTGTGTTGTGGCTCTGGTTTACTTCGCGATCTACAACCTGATCCTTGCCCCACGTTGCACCGCCAAGCCGCAGCACTCCGAGGAGTTGATCTCGGGATCGGCGTCGCAGAACTTTGGCAATACGGGAACCGGAACCGGAAATGGAACCGGAAATGGCGCTGGCAACGGAGCCGGAAACGGAGCCGGCGCGTCACTCAATGGCAACGGAAATGGCAGCTACTCACCACTGAGGGTTTACCACAACGAGAGAGGGAAGAAGGGACAGTTTAGATACTAAGGATAGAGTGCGGAATCCAGATAACAATGGATAATGTATTCTTTTCATGGATCGCTAATGGTCCGCCTCTCTCAAATCGAGTGCGAATGATATTCTTAGTTTTTAAATGTGTACACCACACGTCATGCTCCTCCACCTATCGCCCCCCGCCCGCTCGAGGGCAACACTGCTAATAGTTTTTAATGCGTATTTTTGCTAAGTGTATACACCAGAAGGAAGAACAACAGAACAGAAAGAATTAGAGAGAAGAGGAAAAATAGAAAACAAACAAAAAAACCTTTTTATAATCGCATGTAGAACTTATTTTATTTGTTATTTAATGCCAACTAAGCGAGTTCATAATTTTAATTGTACCGCAAGGGGGAAGCTGACAGAAAAAAGAAAAGAGCCCAGCAAAGTCATCAACTGCCAGAGTTTAATTTGCAACAATAGCCATGGATACAGCAAAAGCAATAACGACTTCCCCGAACAACACGTCGTTCTCTTTACAACGTTACAAAAATGAAGGCATCAATTTTTAATGAAACATTTGCGTGATTTTACTAAGCATAATATATGATGCACTACGAGCATATAAATGTAACAATAAAACAGAAAATGTAATTATACAAAAATATAATTAATGGTAATTAAATGTTTTCAAATTAAGCGTAATAGCTGCTGAAGAGGTTTTTGTTTTGGGTTGCAAACGGGAAATGGAAATGGCAAGCGGAAAACGTAATGACTGTGAATGGGGAAGTAATTTTATAATAATCTGGGTTGTAATTAACTTAAGTAAGTGTTTTTTTGCTGCTCATATGATGGAGCGCCATCTAGATTTGGCTTTCTGGCGGAAAATGTAAGATTTTCTTATACATCGACCCTTACAATGAAACTTAGCTGTAAAGCTGGCTAAGAATTTCTTTGAAGCTTTTTCCTTTCAAGCTTTTCTTAATCAAAAGCTGTTGTCTTTAAATCCAACGCCTTGCTTAATTATTTGTTTCTTTTTTTCCGCCGCGATTTGCAATTTATGAGTCCAATGAATTGCATTTGCTCAGTCGATGACGTAGCGCAAATATTTTGCCAGCACTTGGACGGCCAATATATGAGTCCTTGTGCGGGAAAACAAGAGCCCAAGGATGGCGGCCTCTTGACCCCGAAGGATGTTGGCTGGCTACTAATAGCCCAAAACTTAAGAGCAGATGGGCAGTTTCACTGGCAGAATATTTTCTTTAATTATTATAAATTTATTCAAAATATATGTTGATATACGTGATCATATTGCATTAAGATATCAAACTCTTAATTATATTATTTTATCATATTATCTATTAAGCTAAAATATAATATTTAAGCACTCATATTAAGGTTTTATATTAATTTTTGAACGAAATGTGTTTTATGAATGCTATTTAAACTCTCAAAAAAAATGGATATAAAATTTAAGCAACCCAATTATTTTTTGGCAGTGCATTTAGTTTCAAGGAAGAAAGCCAGTGACAGTGTCCACTTAACCGAAAGTAAGTAAACACAGACAGGCGGACAGCCACACACACACACACAGGCACACCCCTTGGCTATTTACTTGTGTGTACATATTTAGTTGCATAAAAGGAGTAATAAGTGCGGATTTTATGATGCGACGCGACACAGACACACGCTCACGCACACACGATTGCCTTCCCCCTGAGTCCTTTACCCCCCTGAGTCCTTACTCCCCTCGAGTCCTTCGCCGCATTCGTCTGCCCTTTGACATTACGCACACATAAGCGTAAGCACTCGCTGCATGTGTGGGTGTCAAAGTGACAATAAGCCACTTAAGGCAGCGCGCACTTCATTAGTTTTCTTTATTGATATTTTCACAGCAAGCCAAACAGTTATGAGTAGTTGCGGGCCAGCGATTTAAGCGTTCGACTCGTTCGGCGTCTGATTTTGATGGTTCAATAAAAATAACGCACAAGTTGTTGCTTTAATTTGATGTCTGCTGCATTAAGTTGGGTTCAACGATCTATTTTTAGGAATAAATAGCTTATTAAAATGTGCATACCAAAGCTTTCTTATTCCTTAATACCATTTTATGAAAGTTGCAAGAAACTTTTAATGCAAAGATAAATAAACGCAAGTCTGAACTAAGCACTTTACTCTGACATACAAATATAAAAACCAATTTAACTAATAATTCAACGACACCCTTTTTACGCTTTACAAATGATATTAGTCTACTCCATTTAAATGCTTTTTTGCCGTACCACAGGGCGTATGTGTAATAAACTGCGAAAGCTGCGCTTTGGGGTTTCTGGAATTCCGAATTTAAGGTTTCGTTAACGGGCGGCTTGGTGTCGGTCGGTTGGGGCCTTTGGCCCCTGAACCGGGGTTCTTCTTTCGGTCTACCAGGCAGCAGAAAATCTTGGCAATTAGGCAGTGGCAGCGAAACAAAAGCCCGGCTGAGGGTTAGCGTGTGGGTCTGGCTTGTCTCTTCGGATGGCAGGGAAAGACAGAATTATTGTCACTTGGCACCTCGCAAAAGAAAACAACGGAAACAGCGGGGTGTGGGAAATGTGCGGGGAAAAACGAGATCTGGGGGAGTTTTGCAAGCGCTTTGCCCTATGAAAAATTGCTGTCATTTGCACAGCATAAAAATAGGAAAATTCTAGAGAGGATGGGAAGGAAGAGGGGCAGGGGGATGGGGAAAAGGGGGATTTGGGATGAGGACAGGATGCACACACAGAGACTGCTAACCATAAGTTAACGGAAATCCACAGAACCACATGGCCACATCCACATGCAAGCGACATGGGCGGGCTGCAAAGCACTTGTGAAAAATAACTTTGCACATCGTTGAATTTGGTGTGCAATTTTCCCACCAACTCCATCTCCATCTCCACATCCGTTCCCCATACTACACATCTTCCTCATCCTGTTCTTCCTTTTACTTTTAATTTTGTTTGTAAAGAAAACTCATTTTCATCATTCTGGAGTCGCAACTGCGCTTGTCTTTTGTGCGGCGAGGAGCGGTAAAAAGTGAGCTTCATGTAATTATTTTGATCATTTGCATTTGAGCGGTAGAACTCGCAAAACAGACATTGAAGGGGAGTCGCTTCTCTTTAAGGATTTTACTGCGGCTGTGACCCCCACCCATGTGGCAGTTGCCACCCCTTCATCACACCTTCATCATCATCATCATCATCATCATCAGCGTGGCTGTGGCAATTTATGAGCTTGCGTGCACCTCTTGCAGCTTGCACGTGTGAAAATTGTTTTGCCAGAGTTGGTTTTTGGTTCGCCATGGAAACGCTGCTCCCCAAACCATCCACTAAGCCCCCTCCCCCTCCACCCTCCACCTGTTCTTTGTCTGCCCCAACATTTATTACTGTCGCACATTGTGTCATAATTCCAGCGTGCATAGCTGCACGAATGCACAATTTAATTTTTATGAAATTCCCTCCTTTTGGCTTTCGGTTCATGCATAAACATTCCCTCTGATTTGTGATGTTTACCCACGGCGATCCGGCTCCAGATCCTTGCGCCCTGATGCGTGTCCTCCTGGCTCAAGGAGCGGCGATAAAAAGCTGCCAATTTTATGAAAAATTCGTATCCATTTCAATGCTAATTTGTTATATTGTGGCATTTTTTTTGTTCCTTCGTAGGCGTAAATAAATGAATTTTATTGCATACATTTGTGGGAGCCAGGCTGCCATTTTTTCTTCGCAATTTATTCATTCCAAAAGTTGGTGCTCTGAAGCGAAGCGGTGAAAGTGAGTTGGCCTCATATAATTGAAATATGGCCAGAGGTGTCGCCTCACTGAATGAGTAATACCATTCGACCGGTGCACTGGGGGAAAAATTAGGCTACACTTAATCTAATCTTAAAGGCTGAAATATGAAGAGGAAAACATAAGCATAGGTATGTGTTGAATTTTTATTAAAATTCAAGGTTAAATTTAAACCTTGTCTTCAAATATTATTTATTACTTTCAAATATTTAAATAAGTATTTACCTTTACCTTTATGTCTATATTTCTTCACGTGCCTGCAATAAATTAATTCATTCTCGGCGGCAATCAGTTTGACTGAGTGGCTCTTGAAAATATTGTTCAAGTCTGGAGTGGATGTGATTATCGCAGACCGAAAACACATGGCTGCTCATATCAAAGTTATGCAAATTCCGATCCTCATCTAGCCCTCAAAGCTCTTTGAAATAAATTGGATTAAGCCCTGCTGGCTGGCGTCGGTTCGGTTCGCTTGGAACCCACTATATTCGGGCTATCATTTACTCTAAGTTAGGGTCGACGGGGGCTTTTCATTAGATCCGACCGCCTGACAGGCGCCTACAAAAAAGCCGGATGCCCTTTTGTTTTTAGGCGCAAAACTTTGCTAATTACTGTGAAAATTTTCGCAGCGTGCGACTTTTTTGTGCTCCCTTCGAAGGTGGGGACATTCTGGCCCGTGGCCCCAAGCCATTAAGTGTGTGAGTTCAATTCAAGGTGTTGACTTTTTAATTGTATGTGAGGTGAGGGTGACAGGACCTGAAAAAGACGGAAGGCGACAGCCACAATGGGCTGAGAAGGCTTTAATTTTTGCCCCCCTCTTTTGCAGTTAATGAGGAGGTCTCCATTCTTTTGTCCATCCCGCTTGCAATTAACGCGTTCATAAATTACAAAATTCGGTTTAACTATCGCCACGGATTGTGTCTCCGGTGGTCCTGTTCTTAATATGAGTACGGGATAAACTTAAAATTTTTAATTGGCCATCCACATGGGAAGCTGGGTTAAAACTTCATTGTCTGCATTGAGCTGCTGTCTGCATAATTAAACATGTGAAACTTTATGCCAACCACATGGTGTAAATATTAAATAGCTTGAACAGAATTCGTGAGTGTAAGCTCCAAAAAAAGCATTTACCTGCGGATTATCTATGCTATTTAAGCTTTTAAGAACCGGTCTTTAACATTTAAATCTAGTTCTTTCTTCTTACCTTTTTATGATTATTATTTTTATTGCTATTGTTGAAGTATTAAATACTATTAAAAAAGTCAAACTCCTAGCTAAGGAGTAAGTGAAGTTGGAAAACAATACAATATAAAAAGTGACGATTTAAAGTGCAGTAAGTGAAGTTGGAAAACAACACAATAAAAATGTGGCCGATTAAACTAAAAACTAAATAAACTTTTGTTCGAGCAAAAATAAAAGCTTACTTTAAAATATGCAACTTTTTCTATAAAAAGTGAAATAACCTAGAACTCAGTTGAAAATGTTTGTTCAATAATTAAGTCTCCTAAAGTGTTGTATTTGTATAAATCGCGGATGGAAAACAATTAAAATTGAAAATGCGATTGAAAAGTACTTTGTTGCAATTGTTATTCAAAACCGAGGAGGGAGAAAAAATTCCTTTGGCCAATTGTGGCTGGGATTAAAATAGCTTAACGGAAATTTAAACATTTCAATTGTGCTCGGTCAGCAGACGCACACACGCAAACATACACACATACACGCACACGTTTAAAGAGGGCGGGGCACCGCCTCTTTATTAGCCGCCGTCTTGAGTTGCCAAAGTTTTTCGCTTGCCAGCGCAGTTTTTATCATCAAAGGATAAGCGTCCCTGTTCGGAGGGCGGGATTCGAGAAGTGGGAGTTGGGGGCGTGGCCAGTACGTCGCTTGCATTCAAAAGCGCACAAA